CATAAATTATTCTATGATATACTGGCATCAAAAAGATTTCAATCCGACATGGTTTTGAGTGTGAAAAATTGTACTGTGGAAGACAAAACTATTCAGCTGTGTGTGACATGGTGAATACAGCATACTGCATATTTCAGATCGAGTGAGTGCGAGCAGCAAAAGTGAGCTAGTACATGAGGTTGTTATTGGATATGAGGTGTTTTCTGTGCTAAAAAAATAGATTTAATCAATGTTTTATTTTCTTATTTTATTTCACATCTTTGGTCCCATACTCTTGTTATGTTTTTGTGCAGAGATTTAATAATGGAACCAGTGATGTACACCAAAGTGGTAGAGTGGGGATCATCGTAAAGTGCCTGCTACAATAAAGTAAATGGATCTCCTTTATGTCGTCATCTGTGTTTGATTCCTTTTTAATGCAGTATTTATGTAGAGTATAAACCTGTTATTATTTGCCTCACCGGCGCTATAATAAAATGGTAATACTGTACCACAGACATGTCTACACTGTCTGACAGCTCTATCAGGACGGTGACATACAGAAGCAGGAAGGGCAGGGTAATTAAGATAATACATATCAGGAAATGAAGATAAAGGGGTCTATATAGTATTCTGAAGGATGTGCTACTGATAACTTCTATCATGCCAAGACCAGTTCCTCTGGGATATCATTGAAGGAACAGGGCGCTGTAATCTCACTGCTGGGCGGCACAAGAACCAGGAGCCAGATTCATCTATAAATATTTTTTTTTAAATTCAGTGTATAATATGGATTGAATCTACTTTTTTGTTTTTACTCCTGGGAATTTAAGTATATGAGGAGTTTTACAATGCAGTCTTAATTAGGGATGCACTGATATAAAAAAAAATCTGGCTGATAATTATTTGTGTTGTGGCTGATACTAAAAACGAAAATCAATAATTTAAAGCATTGCAACACTATAATGGATACTGGATTTAAAAAGTAATATTTCTGAAATTTTATAAAGACTGCATTTAACAGCGTTTTTACGTTACAGCAAGTAAGTGTAATGAGATAGTATAAGATATCTTCTATAAGATATAAGATAATTTAATATAAAAAGACAATGAACAGAACAAATGTCCAATATTAAACAACACGAATCAATGGAAATATATTTTAAATATCTAAAATATCATGCACCCCCAATCTTAATCACTTCTGTATCGGTTATAGTGCTATTAGTAAATAAAACGGATGAAGGAACACCACAAATTAAGCAAAACAGTCATAAACTTTTTAATGTTCTTAAATAGCATTCTTAAAAACAAAAAGCTTGCATGTTTTGGTATCATCACATTTTTTCTGTATTTTTTTTTTCCTGCATTTAACAACAAACATCAAATATAATTTGGCAACAGATAAGACTAAACAGTTTAGTGATTAAAAACACATGACAATTGGACAATGCAAGTATGTTCAACTAGCAACTCTAGAACCCCTTAACTTATAAAGAAAGAGTATTCTGACCATTACATCACGTTTGAAAATGTTCCCTCCCACAACAGTAGGAACTGGTAGAAATCACCCATACTACACTTTAGATCTGGCCCCATGTTTACAACAGAAAACAAATGCAGCTGATTTTCTTTGTGTTCCTTCCAATCATGGCCGCTAATGCATTTACAGGACGCATTAAAATGGAGAAGGGGGCATCAACATTTAACAGATAAACTAATTAACATGCATCTACCACTGAAGTTTGGGCAATTGGTAAGAAAATTATTTTAAAAAGGGTATTGCATTTCCCCCTACATTTTAGGTTGGTAAGCTTCTGTTGTGGTACATTACATGTAGAAATGCTTAAAGTCTGTATTCACCCCTGTGCTCTCAGCTAAATAGTGCGGTGTGAATACAGGACAGTCTGAGCAAGAACTTGTAGGTTCCTGAAAAGTCATACTTAAATACACATACTAATACAAATGAAATAAGGCAAAAACATTTGACAGTCAGTCATCAGTCAAGGTCAGAGAGGAAACAGTGACATCCACCATCTGTTTCCCTCTTCATCTCCATCCAGCCCTTCTCCTTTTGGCAAACTAAAACGACACAAAAAAATTTAGGCCATGAAAAATTTGTGCCTGCGAGAGCACAGACAACTCGGTTGTCTGCTTAATTTGGGCAGTAAATATTCCAAGTGAAGGTTTGGCAGTGATTTGTTCGTTAGCAAACTTCTCTCTTTTTATACAAGATGATTATTCAAAAAAAAAAAAAAAGCGATATTTGGGTCAATACGTGCAAGACTATCAACTACAGACAGAGAGATGACAGTAAGTAAGAGTACGAGAATCGTTTGGGACATTGTGCTCTCCACATGCAAGAATCTTTTGGTCCCCATCGAATGGCCAGGATCAAACCTGCAGTTCGGGGGGAAAAGTCGGTAAACATTGAAAAATCTGTCACCATGTATGGCATTTACTAACACAGATCACAGATGGAGAAAATGATGAGCTATTTGCAAAGCGTGACATAACGGAATGATCAGACATGCCTCTTGCCAACAGCACAATAAATAACATCAGAATCAAACTTAAATAGTGCAAGTAAAGTGCAAGGCTATTATTGTAACTAATCATCGTAATTAAAAACATCATGACGTAATGAAACGAACGAAACACTGATCACATCACTTCTTATTAGACCGACGCAGTGCACTTGTCCTTGAGACAGATGGGGTTGTGAAAGAGGGATGCTCTTATGCCATGATCCTTGGAATGTCAAGCTGACTGCACTGGTGTGAAGCAGCGGGAGGGTGCGCAGTTGAGACAGTGGCATGGTCCATTCACAGATTAGACAAAAGAACACTGCCCCTGTCACATGCAGAGGGTCATCTTTTCACAGATCTGCCACGACGAACAACCCAGACAGACACAGTTCTCTGCATCACATTGACTTCTTATAGAACTATACATATATATTTATATATAGATATATACACAAATTTGTACTTATATACAGGAGTGCGCCTGTACGCCTCTGTGACACTATAAAAGAGAACTCTGTTGGCTATTGGTGTCCACAGCACACATGGAATAAGACATTAGGTCATTACATCAGCTATGCAAGTATGGGCTTACCACACTACCGAGGCATGCTAAAAAGAATCTCTTTTGAAGAAACGCTCTATAAAAATGGAGATTCTGGTGTCAACGTAGCGTTAATGAATTAACGACCGGTTAGCTGATGACCAAAATAACCCGAAAGAGGCACAGTACGGTGGACCTCCTTCAAAAGACCAGGCTAAAGTCTGCGAAATTCGTGTCAAGACGGAAAAACAAACAAATAGATACAGCTTTGTATGTCTAATACACCACTGCATGTTTGACCATTATTTTAGGATCGTGGGATACAAACAATGTTATTTTTGTATTATTTGTATACTATTACAGTATTTATTAATATCTTGAAGTAGCTTTAATTTGTATATATTCAGTTTTAATTTTATGTGCTTTTCTAATTTTTTTATTTAGCTTTTTTTATTTTTATTTTTAGTAATTTTAGCATTTAAAACTTTTATTTCATTTAGTTGCCAAGGCAACATTTCACATTTTTGTTTAATTTGTTTTAAGTTTCTCATCTAATATTTATTTTTCATTTCAATTAATGAAAGCATTGTAGAAATAGCTGTAGTTTTAGTTAACACTAACAACACTGGGTACAAATGGCTGTTGATCAGTATAAAGGCAGTGGTCGGGAACCTATGGCTCGCGAGCCACAGCTGGCTCTTTGATAAAAATCATGTGGCTCGCCAGATCTCTCACCCTTTACCAACAAATGATCTATTACAAAAACTATACATCACTAGAGATCAGCAATTCCTTTGTTGTAGAGACCACATAAGCTGATAAAATGTTTAAAATAATAATACATTTTTTGTACTGGCCAAAGTGCGCGTTCAGTGCCGTTCGCGAGAGTCATGACAGCAAACCACTGACGTGTCTATGGTAACGTAGAGCTCCTGCACTCAGATTCGTAACGTTAACTTGTTTGTAGTTATAGCGAAAATAAAGATTTTTTGAACAGCAGAAAAAGTGTAAAAGTATGTAAAAATGACAGGACTGAAACGTGTACTTTGTTTTATAGAAGATGGTGTTCTCCTGTGCCAAGAGCCAGTATGAAACATTTCGCCGGTTACTTATGCTTTTTTCCGTGCAGCTTTCAGCGAGTGGGACTGTTTGCATTATTAATAAAGGAACGTGAATGAATGAGACAGTACAGAGCGGGACATGCTTGATATTTTCAACACTGTAAACCCCTTGTAAATCAGCATCACAGTAAAAGCCCTGCACAATTTTTGACGGTTAGTTGAATATTTGTGTATTTTAGTTTCCATGGTCCTAATAAAGTTGCTATTATTAAAACGTTTTTGAAAAAAAGAAAACATGCATTTTTTTAAATAATATTAGGCTATATATATATTCTATATATATATATATATATAGAAAAAGTGTTGGCCCCCTTCCTGATTTCTTATTTTTTTGCATGCTTGTCACACTTTAATGTTTCAGATCATCAAACAAATTTAAATATTAGTCAAAGATAACAAAAGTGAACACAACATGCAGTTTTTAAATGAAGGTTTTTATTATTAAGGGAAAACAAAATCAAAAACTACATGGCCCTGTGTGAAGGGAAAAATGCATTAACCAAAAATTAAAAATTGGCTCTTTGGTCAAAAAAGGTTCCCGCCCCCTGGTATAAGGGCACCATCATTTTAGTCTACATATAATAAAAAAGGATTGATTGATATGCATATTTACAAAAAAAAACAACAACAAAAAAAACAGGAAGATATTATTTTAGTGGATCTCAATAGAAGTCAATTTCGAGCTTTCAAGTAACAATAGATTCACAGCTCAATTTAAGTAGCCTATAGATAAATGGAACCAGTCTGTTTTTAGAAAGTTTAAAGATTAGCTGGATCACCTCATATATGAATATATTTTGAATATTTATTTATTTATTATTTAATATTTATTCATTTAGAATCATGTGACAAATATGGCTATTAGCAATAAACATTATCATTATTAATCACATTGTGTTTATTATATAAACATATATAATATTTATTCAGTTCAGTCTCACCTGGAAGAGCTTGTGTAATCGGAGCGTGGTGCAGCAGAACACGAAACGGATCATGAGCAGACGAAGAAATTCATCGCCATAAAACTGCAGATAGGCCTGATCTGGAAGACAGTCAACAGGAAAACTGAAATACATATCTGACGCTTGGTCAAACATGTCACTGATATACAAAAATTAATGTAAGCATAAAAAAGAAAGGGATGACATATTGGCATTACCTATAACTCGGGAGCTCGTGATCATCTGGCCAATGTCATGGAAAACCTTCCGCAGGAGTTCCTGGGCCTTTTCCCACAATCCATAGCGCATGCTGCTCAGTCCACACACAGACAGGAAGCCCATGAGGGGGTTGTAAAGGAAAAGAGTAAACAGACTCCCACGCTGACACTGGTCTGCAAGATAGAATAGTCAATATAAATAATAGACAATCCTACTTCAAAAGAAAAGAAAAACAAACGTTAAGCAAATATTAAAAATGTTCCTGTCTCCTAACACAATGGCAAAACAAAAAAGGAGACCTTGCATGCTCTTCGGATACACTGTCGGAGAAAGCAGGCAAACAAGTGGTTGGCCAAACAGATTGGAGAAATTCTGTGGAAAGACAGGAAAAATACATGAAAAATCATTTCTACTAGTACACGATGTCAATGTGAACACAAGAGGGCACTCCATTACTGAACTAAGCAGTCAAATAAAGAAAATCAGTTAAAGAAAAAGAAGGTTGATGAAATCAGTCCAGGAGTAAAAAGAAAAATGACTACTTTGTCCCTATTACAAGGTTTCTTTCTGCTGATTATTCTCATGTTTATCCTAGTCAAGAAGTCAGACAGTCTTATTTACCGAGCAACCACATGGCTGCTTTTGAATAATGAATGGCCTCATGATGTCACAGAATACTGCAATGATGGAAGAAATGTGAGCGTGTGACAAAGACAGGGAGACGGAGAGCTGATGGCTCACCTTATAAGCTGTGCTGTTGGATGAGTCGACAATGATAAACAGAGGTTTCCTGGTGAAGGAGAAAAGGTCTCCTGGGTGGAGACTGAAAAAAATACACATTTGTGCATACATGCGTGTTAAAATAACACCTCAGTGTCTCATCAGACATATAGTTAGCGCATTTTCTATGAACAGTAGACTAGAGGTCTGCATTCCCGCAACTCTCCCGCGGGAACCAACCAGATTTCTTGCGATGCGGGATTAAATTCCCGAATAAAACGCGGTAGCGGTCGGTAACTCTGGTGTGATTTGAACGGGAGTGGGCTGTCTAACAATATCCCGTTCCCGACTTCCTTTCAGAACAACATATCTGTCCTTTATTCTTATTGACCACCGGTACAGCCTGCACTCAGGACTGTTATGCACGCGCTGCACGCATGAACCAGCGCTTTCTGAGTCACGCATTTTATTTGTGAGGTCTGTGCGCAGCATGTGAATAACGATGGTCAGAACAGGCTGTAGCCTATCGGTGGTAAATAAGGTCCTCGGGCAGAACAGGCAGATTGTCGATGAGTGACAGAGCAGAATAAGGATGGAGCAAAGTGTGGCTGCGCTGTCTTGAAGGACGTTCAACTCGGTTTTGTTTAAATTTTGCTTAGCCTATCATTTTAAATGACAGATGTTGTAGCCTATTTATTTATTTATTTTTCTCTGCGACACTTTTCCTACTGTGTACAGCAAAATGTTTAACGAATTTAGTATTTTGACAAGACGAATAAAAATAGCTAGACTATTTCTGTACAACCTACATTTTAAATTTTTTTTCTCTGACACTTTTTCCTATTGTTTTAAATGTTAAACTAATTGTATCCTGACAAGACGAATCAAAATAAAAAATAAAATTTTTGTACAACACTTTTTTTCCCCCTACTGTGTTGGCAGCAGTTGCTGTCAATAACTTCAAGACTCTTGACAAGACAAATTATATAAATACAATTTTGTGCAGACTACACTTTTATTTGTTAGCCCATCTCTCTTTCTTTCAGTAGAGGAAATTTAAATGTGAGATTCTGGAAACGAGATCTAAATTTAGCGGGAACGATTGGGTCGGGAAGAAAATGATTCTAAGCGGGCGAACAAAGAGTGAATATATAGCTGGAGCGGGTGGGAGTGGAATATAACCTTGTGGGAGGGGGACTAAAAAAAACAGTCCCGCGCAGACCTCTACAGTAGACCAGCACAGAATGGATGTCAATGAAGGCTCACCAGTGCATCTCTTTTTGTGCCTGGCTTCTCTTCTGCACCATCTCGCCGTTTACCACATCTCGATTAGTATTGGTTAGGACACCTCCAAAGTCATAAGGTCCTATAAATAAAGAAATGGTGATGTTAAGTAATAACGATAAGACAGATCTGACTTCTTGTATGGATCATTCATCAAAATGAAGCATCATGGAAGTCTAAATCTTCCTTTTGCACTGGGACTACTTTTCTAGGCGGATCAACTTCTGTTTGCCCATTTTCAACACTACCGCTCAAAAATGACAGTAAAGACATGATTTTATTTATTATGTTACAAACATTTTTATTTAAAACATGTTCTTTTGAACTTTCTTTTCATCAAAGAATCTCGATTAAAAAAAATGTATCAGTGTTGCCACAAAAATATTAAGCAACAGATCTGTTTTCAACACTGATAATAGTAAGAATTGTTTCTTGATCACCAAATCAGCATATGAGAATGATTTCTGAAAGATCATGTGACACTGAAGACTGGAGTAATGGCTGCTGAAAACTCAGCTCTGCCATCGCAGGAATAAACTACATTTCAAAATATACTGAAACAGAAAAAGGATATTTTGAATTGTAATAATTCACAATATTATTGATTATAATATTACTTACTATTGATAGATAAAAATAAACATATTATAGTGAGCATAAGAGACTGAACAGTGGTGTATATAATTTCTGCTCTACGTACATTACGCTTCCAGATATTCTCGCATGGATTTTTTCATGCAGAAAATACCCACTTAACATGTTCAAAAGTTGAAAGATTAGATATTATTCTCCACGGAAAAGGCTGACAAGCATTTAGTATCAGTCTGTTAATGCAGATATGTTTTCGAAGTCAGTATGTTTGCAAGACACATCATACACAATATTACACAAATCTTTGAATCCTCTAATTTGATTGGCTGAGCAGTGTTCCACAGATATTAGTAGATATTTATGTAAATATTAAGAGAACATCCGGTGATGTCAGAACAACAGTGTGCTAAAACACCTCGGCATACCTTCACACTCTGAGCGTCCAGTAGGAAACACACCAGTGGCAGAGAGATAAACCAGCAGGACACTATTGGCTGGCAGCTCCTAGCAATAAAAGAATCAGTTAAAGAAAGTCAGAAAAATGGATCCATTTAATTGGCTAATTAAATCAGAACATTCACAATAGTACAAATAGTAAAGCAGTGTCATAGCAAGCTAATTATTAAGTTCAGTGGCACTCTAAGTGCTATGCAGCCAGAGCATCTCAGTAACACCCTCAAGACTAAGAATACGTTTCACAATATAACAGGAGGTAGTATTCATCTTTGCAAACAGTGAAACGCACACACAGAACAGCTAATGACTGGAAATGGTTCAAAAAAGCACATGCAAGTGCCTGTGACAATTATTTGTAATTATTTATCTAAACAAGCAATGAAGCACGATGGGGAAAAATTGAAATGTTCAAAAAGAACTGCTGCATAGCAAAAGCAAAGTATCTGAGTCATGTGTGTGTGTGGGTTTTCCTCACACTCTTGAGGCGCTACGCTACAGCAGAGTAGATAGTAACACGCTAACACCCCTGTAAGCATGCCATGCTGCTACACACACGCTCACACGAGGTGTCACTCGAGACAACAGAACCCAAACTAGCACACGGGATAGACCACCAGAATGCAATAACTGTACAGAAATAATGCAGTTTTATTTATATTTGCCCTTGACTATTGAATTATAATGAGATCTTCAGGCTTTAAAAGCCCCATAAAATCATTCGATGAGCTGTTAATGTGTTTCCTATTGAAACAGGTTTTGGCTCCTCCCTATTTTAAATAGTCAAAAGGATTTAGTCTAGCTGTAGGTTTTACATTTTAGAGGAAGGAACATTCTCATTCTAGTGAGCATATGTTTGGATATAAATCTGTGCAGATATCTTTGGTGTGTTTTTGCTCAAGAGAAAGAGTACATTTTAAATAGGTACATTGCAGTTCAAAAGTTTGGGTCAGTAAGATTTTTAAATACCTTTGAAAGAAGTCTCTTTTGCTTATCAAGGCAAAAATACACTGAAAACAGTAATAGCGTAAAATATTATTAGCATTTGAAATAACTGCCTACTATTTAAATACATTTTCAAATGTAATTTATTCCTGTGATGATTTTTAGCAGTTGTTACTCCAGTCTTCAGTGTCACACAATCCTTCAGAAATCAATCTAATATGCTTATTTGGTGCTGAAGAAAGATTTCTTATTATTATCATCAATGTTGAAAACAGTAGTGTTGCTTTTTTTTGTTTTTGTGGAAACAAATTTTTGTGTCAAGTTCAAAAGAACAGCTATTAAATACATAAATAAACAAGCAATGTAAAAGTCTTTACTGATCAATTTAATGCATCCATGATGAATATATGAAATTTCTTTAAAAAAAAAGAAACTCTTGCTGACCCCAAACTTTTGACCTGTAGTGAATGTTTGCTAAAAGTACAATTTGTCATTTAAGAGTACATTCTATGGCACATTTGATTTAAGCTTAATCATCGTGTCTGCTACAAAGTTTTGCGCAATATAGAGTCAAACCAGGACGTAAATGACTGGATGGATTGACAACAAATTGACAGGTGCTAAAAACTGGAATGACATCAGCCAAACCTTGAAGGAGGCAGACAGGAAAGTGTAGAGCTGGCTGAAGGTTGGTTTGTAGAGGAGATATTTATGAGGGTTCTCTCTCTTGGCCGGCTTTTCATTGGGCTCCTATAATAAGAGAGATAAATGAGTGAGAGAGGAATAGAGAGACACCGAGAGCAGGCGGAGTGAGAAAGAACAGTGAGAGAGTCACTGACAAAGGTGAAGTACTGAAATAGCAAGGGAGGAAGGGTGGAAATACTCAGAAACACTCAACATAGAGAGTGACAGGGAGAGTGTAAGAGTCTTCTCTTACAAGTGTCCCTGGCTTGGAGCTTTGTGTGGCTAGGTTCACTGGTTCCCTCTCAAGCGCTTGGAGCATACGAAACATATCGATGGTCAGCTCGCTAAACTTCACCTGTAAACCAGATAAAATCCATCCATCACAAAAACCAGACTACAATAAACACTATGGTTATTATAACCTACACGACAAGTTTGAAGTGTCTAATCATTTACATAAGAAAGCACCGCTTGAGTTTGACTTATTATGTAACTTGCTCAGCTGTACTCCCACCTGATTGTTACAGTTGCCAACGATGAGCGCATCTGCCAAGGTGAGCTGGCCAACCACCATGCCCTGTTCAAGAGGAGGCACACCACCCTCCTGCAGCCGATTGGATAGGACCACCACGGCATTGTCATCATTTAGGATCATAAGAGGATCTGCCTGTATAGATAGAAAAATAGTAAAAAAATAAAATTAAATTACACAAATGTCAAGGAAATATGAATATTTGTCATAAACAGTGCCAAAAGTCTTACTTTGCCCTAAGCCTGTCCTTTAAGTAACAGTCAAGGTTGTGTATAAGTATAACATTTGAGATATTTAGTTTTTTAAGAGTGCACATTTAATGACTGGAAATGGTTCAAAAAAGCACATGCAAGTGCCTGTGACAATTATTTGTAATTATTTATCTAAACAAGCAATGAAGCACGATGGGGAAAAATTGAAATGTTCAAAAAGAACTGCTGCATAGCAAAAGCAAAGTATCTGAGTCATGTGTGCGTGTGGGTTTTCCTCACACTCTTGAGGCGCTACGCTACAGCAGAGTAGATAGTAACACGCTAACACCCCTGTAAGCATGCCATGCTGCTACACACACGCTCACACAAGGTGTCACTCGAGACAACAGAACCCAAACTAGCACACGGGATAGACCACCAGAATGCAATAACTGTACAGAAATAATGCAGTTTTATTTATATTTGCCCTTGACTATTGAATTATAATGAGATCTTCAGGCTTTAAAAGCCCCATAAAATCATTCGATGAGCTGTTAATGTGTTTCCTATTGAAACAGGTTTTGGCTCCTCCCTATTTTAAATAGTCAAAAGGATTTAGTCTAGCTGTAGGTTTTACATTTTAGAGGAAGGAACATTCTCATTCTAGTGTTCAAGAGGAGGCACACCCCCCTCCTGCAGCCGATTGGATAGGACCACCACGGCATTGTCATCATTTAGGATCATAAGAGGATCTGCCTGTATAGATAGAAAAATAGTAAAAAAATAAAATTAAATTACACAAATGTCAAGGAAATATGAATATTTGTCATAAACAGTGCCAAAAGTCTTACTTTGCCCTAAGCCTGTCCTTTAAGTAACAGTCAAGGTTGTGTATAAGTATAACATTTGAGATATTTAGTTTTTTAAGAGTGCACACCCTCCTGCAGCCGATTGGATAGGACCACCACGGCATTGTCATCATTTAGGATCATAAGAGGATCTGCCTGTATAGATAGAAAAATAGTAAAAAAATTAAATTAAATTACACAAATGTCAAGGAAATATGAATATTTGTCATAAACAGTGCCAAAAGTCTTACTTTGCCCTAAGCCTGTCCTTTAAGTAACAGTCAAGGTTGTGTATAAGTATAACATTTGAGATATTTAGTTTTTTAAGAGTGCACATTTGACAAATTTCTCTTGTAAAGTAATCAAAAATGAATCTGATTTACTGTACACTACCATTCAGTAAGACTTTTGAAACAAACTAATACTTTTATTCAGCACTTAATTGATCAGAAGTGACAGTAAAGACGTTTATGTTACAAAAGATGTCCATTTCAGATAAACTGTTTTTTTTTTTTTACTCTCTATTCATCAAAAATCCTGAAAAATATTAAGCAGCACAAATACAGTCAACATTGACTAGGGTGACCATGCGTGCCATTTTTACTGGACACGTCTTGGCCAGGATTTCTATATTACCTAAAATATCCAGGTCTGATCGGTGTATGACATCCGTGAGAGCTATAGAGAGCAGAAGCTACTTATGCTTTCGAATCGCTCTCGCAGTACTTTGATGTCAAACAATGATCGATCTGCGCAACGCCGCTTCAAGTCGAACGAACAAACGAACACATCTAATCTGTATGTGTATTTGTATCGCTTTGACTGCTCTCTGTAAATCCCACCTTCTCGATTGGTCAATTATGTACAACGCCTGCACGTTATTGGTCAAGCTACTTTTCGATCATTACCCTCAGCAAGTATGAAAACAGGAAAACGAAGCCAAATATAGAAATCCTGGCCAGGACGTGTCCCGTAAAAATGGCACGTATGGCCACCCTAACATTGATCATTTTAATAGTAATAATATTTCATTATTACTGTTGTTGCTGTATTTTTGAACAAATAAATGCAGCCTCTGTGAGCATAAAAGGCTGACCACAAACTTTTGAACAGTAGTATAATGTATGTGCTTGGTCTTACTGTGAACTGGTGTATAATATTCCAATGTAAAAACTGTTTCATAATTTTTCAGCAAAATCCTAACTTGCTCCACCTCATATGCCAACATGACTATGCTTCAAGCCCCTTCCCCCATCCATCATATAGAGCAGGGTTTTTTTAAACTAGAGTTTGAATCCACTGAAGAAGATGAAAGGAAATAACGACTTTATTAAATATATATATATTTTAGGGTTGAATATTGGATATTAATTAAATGTGTTTTATACCGTATTTTTTAATATAATTTATTTTTAATCACAATTATTACATTCTAACAACAGTCATAGTTTTATTGCATAATTAGTTTTATTACATTAATTTTATACATAATTCGGTTTTTAACATTAATAGTAGGTAGAAAACTTTTTTTTCTTCCTATTTTTCTATTTCACTTGGCAAGTCATCACATTATGGAAGTAAATGAACTGTGAATGGCGTTTCATGGTGATACTGATTGCACTTTTATGCACATTATAGACTAAAATAGCACCTCCACAAAAGCAGCAACTTCCTGCAGCACCAGGTTCCACTCTAACTGGTCCTCTGTGTTGAAGCGTTGGGTGTAGTCCTCAATCTCTTCAGACAGCTCCTGCAGAAAAAGACACCACAGATGGTCTCAGACACACCCATGTATAGCCGACTGTGTTTTTCTTCTCATAAACAGTGCATTGTTGGCAGTATAGGGATTAGTACTTTGTAAATATTAAATTTAAAAAATGTATGTGAGTAATGGCTGACGGTGTGTATTTTTACTTAAATGTGCCAAAATTGATGAGGCATGATTTTTGTCTTAATTCCAGCTGCATAAGTGGCCAACAGACTGTCTGTGCTGACCGATCTTTTGGCAAGAACCTCTGTTCAATATCTATAGTGAGCCATGGATTAAAAATGTGTAACTGATTTGTTTGGTCTGCTGTCCATGACTTACCTTGACCAACACTTTAACCAGGTCCATCTTGTTGAGCAACAGACAAACAACGATAAACCGAGCATAATACCTCAGCTTCTTTACAACCAGCTCTGGCCTGCGCAAAGGAAACAGGGCGAGATTAATGAACTGAAGACTGTATAATACAGACATTTGAGATCTTTACTTTTGCTCATAAGTCTGTTACTTCAAAGAACTTTCCAGAACATGGTTAATAAAAATCAAACAAGTATGTACAGTAGCTTCTTTTCACCTGTCTTCTTTGTTGACTTGGTGGTAATATGATCGTTGGCGAATGGCCGAATAAAAGGAAAAGGCTTCATTTAGGTAGCTTGTTTCTGAAGTGCGGAGGCTGAAGATTAAAAAATAATAATGTGTAAAAAAAATACCTAAAATACACAGTTTGAAATGAGCTGAATAAAGAGTTGTGTAAAAAAAGCTCCTTACTAGTAATGGTAGTACAGCTGGCCAATTTTTGAGGCCACTTCCCCTATCTGCCACCTCTTGAGACCGTACCGGTTGTCCAGGACTTGTCTATTCTCCAGTAAAGCAAAACCAAATAAGAAATCATCTGTCATTAATGTTGACATCATTGGTGCAGACAAATCATCAGAGGGAAGTTTGACCATGCATATTAAATCGTCAGTCTTACGTAGTTCTAAGCCAAAGAACCTGCTCTATTTTTGTGCTTTTGGTAAAAACAGACTTTTTGGTTTCAAAAATAGATCCATCTAGAGGGCTGACCTGTGCTGCTGCTGAAACTTCCACAGCTTGGTGTATATGTCAAATGTTCGGCCAAAATAGGACTGCCACTGCTTGTGTCCATATTGAGGCAGATCCCTGCAGGAGCGTGAGAGAACAAACAAGAGAAACGCAGCCAAATTCACTTTAATAATGCATCTCCACATTTATTGGTATTCAAACATCCATTTAATCTGTTTAGGAATTAAAGACATACAATTATAAGCAACATCAAATTAAACAAATTTGTAAGTATTTTATCTGTATTTTATAAACTGCTACATAAATAAATGTGACATCATGACTTGACAATGACTAATGTAAATACTGAAAATGGTGACTTAAAACTAGAAAATCTTATCACAATTAATTTGATACAAAGTTATGTAGAAAACAACTAGATACAGACAACAGACACAACTTATTCTTCTGCAGAACACAAAAGAATATATTTTAAAGAATGCTGGTAAACAAACAGTTTTGGTGACCACTGACTTCCATTGTATAGTCAAACATTTTTTTCAAAATATCTTCTTTTATGTTCCACAGACGAAAAAGTCATACAGGTTTGGAAGGACATTAGCATAAGTAAATGACGACACATTTTTCATTTTTGATGAACGATCCCTTTAAAATGTTTTTATTTATTTTTATTAATGTATAAGTGCATAGAAAATGAGACTTAGGATATGAGGTACATTTTATTTTCCCTATATGTGACCCTGGACCAGAAAACCAGTCATAAGGGTCAATTTTTCGAAATTGAGATTTATATTTATAAAGCTGAATAAATAAGCTTCCCATTGATGTATGGTTTGTTATGATAGGACAATATTTGGTCGAGATACAACTATTTGAAAATCTGGAATCTGAGGGTGCAAAAAAATCTAAATATTGAGAAAATTGCCTTTAAATATGTACTTAGCAATGCATATTACTAATCAAAAATTAAGTTTTAATATATTTACAGTAGGAAATTTACAAAATATCTTAATATTTAATATCCTAATGATTTTTGGCATAAAAGAAAAATCAATCATTTTGACCCATACAATGTATTTTTGGCTATTACTACAAATATACCCCAGCGCCTGGTTTTGTGGTCCACATGTGGTCACATATTGCCAGACTTACTTCTATGCAACTGAATTTGCTTTGTGAATATGATCAAGCCGGTCACTGTGACTCATTGCTTCAATCACCGGTTTGTTTTAATAATTATAATATCAAGCCTGTGTTCAAACCAATCCTACAACCTTGATACCCCGCATCTCATTACATAAGCCATTTCTGCCGCTCTGCCGAGACACTCCTATGGCAGGACGTCATGTGGACAACAGCAGATGAGCCTTCCAAATACACAAGTGCTCATGGTTGTCATGCACTTAATTAGCATCCTCATGGCAATGATGTGAAGACATTGGTGGTGGGAGAGAGCAAAAACAGAGCAATCAGAGAGAGTCAGAATGTGCGAGTGGGTGAGTGTTTTGGACAGGGCTGTGGTTAGTCATAGTGCCGATGATGTGAAGGAATTTGATGAGCTATGGCAATCAGTTGGAGAAGTAGCTCTTTTGCCTCCTCCGACTCTACTCACTCTTCCTCTCTTTATTCCTTTCCCATCCTTTTCCCACTGAACCCTCCCCAAACACCTCTAGTCCCTATTGTTATCATCAGAGGGTTGCTATGACAACAGAAGCAGAGACTGGGGAAGGAAGGGAGGTTGCGAATACAGCAGGTAAATGCAAAAGCCCTCATTTACACACGCTCACACATGATTACAGTAGATGATGCATCTTTTATGAACCTGTAACAGGCCATTCAGAGAAAGGAGCTGGGACAAAAATGAATGTCAAAAAATAAATCATGTCCAGGCATAACCTTGAGTTAGTGAATACACATATAAAATGCATGCATACACACATCATACAACACAATGAAACACCCGCGCACAGACACACCTCCTTTCATTCATGCAGATTCGGTTAAACCCAGTGCTGTAGCGTGAACACGCACACATTTTATTTCCACAACTGTCATTGATAACACACTGTAAGGTTATAGAGATGGATTTGTGAGATTTACGGTTCACCCCAGTGCCCTTGTGGGCTGCGAGAGACAAAGTCAGAAAGGAGATAGGTGCAGTCATTAGGCAGGGCTTTAATTTCACTACATGCACCATTAATTTCTCATCCTCTCTGTCAGTATTAATACCCACAAGACAGATTCACTGGCAGAGCACAGCCAGGGACAGACCTGTAAATTAAGCAAGGCAGGAAAGGAGGGATGTAGAATGGTGTATGTGGAAATGGGGGTCAGATGTGGTGTAATTGAGTAACACAGCACTATTACATCTGCATGCTGTATGAGGCCATTTATACTCTGTTACTCTGGAATATATTCTGGAACTGACATGAGACTAAAAAGTTAGTTTAGGAAAGTCTACTAACACTTTAAGGCAGTAACTAGTAGGCTAATTACAGTGTCTCACAGAAGTGAGTACACCCCTCACATTTTTGTAAATATTTTATTATATCTTTTCATGTGACAACACTGAAGAAATGACACTTTGCTACAATGTAAAGTAGTGAGTGTACAGCTTGTATAAGTGTAAATTTGCTGTCCCCTCAAAATAACTCAACACACAGCCATTAACGTCTAGACCGCTGGCCACAAAAGTGAGTACAACCTTAAGTGAAAATGTCCAAATGTACACTCTCTAATTTACATGCAAACTAATCATGGGTGACAAAGACGAGTACCCCCCCCCCCCAAAATAAAACCCTACATTTTTTAAACACTTATAATAATTTAAAGCCTTTATTTATTTTTTTAACTCTGCTAAAATTTCACTTTAAATGTTCACTTTCATTCATGAAGAAGACAGGGGGAAAACAAAGACTTAAGATGATGGTAGATGGCAGCAGAGGATCACTCATTAGCTCAGTTGCCAAATTGCCATTTCAACTCCCTAGTTTTTCTCAGGTCTTGCTTTTGGATTTATTATAAAAATTACTATGAAGTATAGCAAGTGCTATGTCATTTAAAAATAAATAAAATAAATAAATAAATAAGCCCAGACACCAACAGCCTAGTATGGTAAATTATTTAAATACTTAACTAGTTAACTACAAATTAAGTTAATTATTAATGGTATAATAATTAAATAATGCATTAAATATTTTGCCTTTTTTTTTAATTTAATTTAAAAATAAAAATTTTCAAACACTGCCTAAAAAGAACACATCAAAGGAGAGCTTTAGGTTATCTTTACCTGTAGAAGCTGCTAAAGGCAACACAGACTTGCTGCTGTAGTTTTGTTACTCTGAATTTACTCTGCATCACTTAAAGCACAGCTCTGGTTTGACATTGTCAGATAGTTAATTCCGTCCATTGCTACAGTTATCTTATTACCGTCAATAGCGGATCAATTTGGCAGATTCACTCACGTTTGTCATTCCTGAAACAGTATACGTGGACAGTTTGGTCCTCTTAAACTTTTCTTCAAACTGTGAATGAAGTAAAAACCGAGCAAAGAACGCTTCCCTTATAGCGTAACTGTCCGAGCTTACTCACGCAGAAACTCCTGATTTAATCAATAACTAACTACACAATTAATATCTTATTTACATCGTGTATGCATTCTTTTTGTCTTGTGATAATAGGAAGATCTGTGAGCATGCAGAACTACATAAACTTGCGGAAACAAAAATTAGATCGGAGCGGATTTCAACTAACCTGCAGTAAACGCCTCTGATTGGCCATTGCTTTCAACAGAGATGCCTGTGATTGGCTACAAAACTCAATGCTGCAAAACACGTAAATAGAAACTTTTGGTTTTGTAATTCGAAACCAGAGCGTGCACACAAAAACACACAGGAGCGTTTGAAAGCGGGTGACTTCGAGCGGGTACAGAATTGAGTTGGTACAATTTTAAAACAATTTTTAAAAATGCGGATCTACACGAATCACACAAATGACCCATTTTGAATTCAAAATGGCGAATTTCACCAAAAGGTGACAAGTTTGCATCCCTGGTACTGAAACTTGCCAAGCGGTGACGCTGGTGATGTGCACATCTTTCCCGTTACCACCTATAATATGCTGCTGCTAAGTGCAACCCTAGCTAACCTGTTTCCCAGTAACCCTATTAGTAACTGGACTATTACCAGTTAGTGGTCGACCAATATATATATATATCGGCCGATATTTGGCATTTTTCAAATATCGGCATCGGCCGATAAGTTTTTCTGTTTGGCCGATGAGTTAGAGGCGGGACTTTTATTTTGTCGGCGCTGAGAGAGACAGCGCCAGTGCACACAGCGTTCACATTCTCCTTGTTCACTTAACAATTCTTAACATTCGTCCTTAACAGCTCTGTCTAATACGGACAGAAATCTGTCTAATAATCAGAAAGAACTGTTAAACAAAGGAATTAAAATGTATAAAAAAAAGTATTATAACGATTGATTTATATTATTAGTTATAGAAAGGCAAACATTATAATATTTTCTCGTTTGCCGTCAGCATTCAGCAAATACGCATTCATATCATTTAAACAAATCTTTGAATGACCAATGAACATTTCATTGAAAAAATCTTGCAAACTTAGTCGGATCCAGCTGTGAGATCTTGTGAAGTGTGCATTTGTATCCTGCATGATCGCGTGTTCTCTGGGTGACGGTCGGTCCGTGTGAATTGAATGCTGACAGGAAGAGAGTTCAGCTTCACTGAGACGCGCGATCGACAAACTTTAAACTGGTGATTTCTAAATCAGTTCGAGTGAACGCACACAACCTGATTAATATTCATGAATCCAGTAGCTCATTAATCCTTGGTGCGTTTTATATTGTTCTTATTATTAGAATTCATATCATTATTATCTTATCAGTAGTTTTGTTAGTTTTCCCCCAATTTTTTTTTTAACAGAAACACTGAATGACTAAAAAAGCACCACCACCAGTCCGAAGTTCAGTTAAAATGACTAATATGCATTCATACATGGTTATCAAGTTTTAATTCTAATTACTAAAGTTCTATTATTAAATAATATTGATTATCATATTATAATGCTTGACTGACTGATGTTAAGAGTGTACTTT